TACTTGGATCTACTCTCAGCCACCTCCTACATGTCTCTCACTCTGCTTTTTAGGCCTAGGGCCTGGGATTGAAAATAAGCTGATACGGCTAAAAAATTTATGTTCTCTTGAGTGAAACCAGCCCTGCATATGAACCGTGGGGAGGCTATTTATTTATTTATCTTCCACTAAGTGGAAAATACTGCACATTAACCTCACTTGAAAGATTATTCCACCTGGCAGATGCTCTCACCTGAGCATGGGGAGGGAGGCACTGTGGTGTGGTCAGTCCAGTGTTAGGTTGGCGCTTGAGGCTCTTGAGTTCTTAGTGTTGCTGTGGTGGTTCAAGGCAACTTCCTTCCTGTGCCTACTTGTCCTGTCAGGAGAACAGAATGGTGTTTTGTTAAAGTACACTGAGCTCATCTGGTGAAGGAGCTGTTCAAGGACTGGGGATGGGACAGTTAGCTCGGACAATTGTGAGGTCTACTTAAAAAATGTAACACTGAGCAATTCAGCTGATGGTCCGACCTCCAGAGAGGGTTGCTGAAGAAAGGGCAGCGTAACGGAACATCTTCCTGAGTTACGATTACCCCCCGAGAGAGTTTGAGCTTGGGCTGCAGAAGTGATGGCACCTTCCCTGTGCAACACCACAAAACATTCTGTGCCGCAGTCATCGAAGACGGGGCCTTCTGCTGTGCAGGGTTGGTTTCCTGTGGTCAGTCCAATGGGCTGAGCTTTAGAACATCCTCTAAGGGTCTGTCTGTCCTGCCAGGCATTGGCCTGAGGAGGAAGGGTAGCTTTGTTTGAAAACAGCCCAAGCTTTTTCTGTCCAAAAGTTGTGTGTTTTGCCTTTTTAACCATTTGCAGGGACCGGAGACCATCTGGTAACTACATTTCATTGATAAACTCTCTGAACACTACCTTGCATAACCTACTAATATTAATAGTGTCTCCAAAAAATGTGATTGATAGTATTGCTTATCCCAAGTGACAGTGGGGTGCAGGCATCTTACGAGCCAAGAGGATTCTTGCCGTGGTTTGTTCTTTCAGCAGATGCATCTCAGCCTTGAGGATGCTTGCAAGTGTCAGAGCTTGCTGTGCTGAGGTACCTGGCTTAGCTCTACGGGAGCTAGCAAGGTAGTTGTGGTAGCACAGCCTGGGCTCTGTGTAGCTGTTGATACGCCAGCTGACTGTGGACAACCTTGTCTAGGCTTCTGTGCATGGCTTTTACTTGTGCTTTGTTGACAGACTCTACACGGTGGTATGTAAGACTGGATTTATTGGATTAGACCACTGCAGTGTTTCTATACATGGTACAAATAGGAAGGAATCATGATCAGCATTTGCTGTTTATTTGGGCCAGGAGGCTTCATGACCTGAGGAACTGAATGAGTATAAATGCATACAGGAGTCCTTAGACTTTCATTGCCTCCCTCCAAGGAGGCACTGTATGCCGGCTGCCTTTGGTTGCGCTTGTATTGGATTAGTATTTCATCTGTCTCCCTCTGGTAAAAGTATTTGTTTAATGAGAGAACTTTGATTCAGTGTCTGAGGAATAACAAAGGGAGATACATGACACTTGGCTAATCCATTATTAAATGAGGATAAAAGCATCCATTCTTCAGGGTGTAGGGCCATGAATAGATGGGTGTGTCAACTAATATAGGGTCTTTAGGCTTTAACTCCCAGTGGAGTTTCCATATGTGACACTTCTGGTGACTTGGGGTGTAAAGGATTCATCATTTGACCCTCTGAAGCGCTGTACATGCCTATCACACTATGAAGAGGATGTGAGGACCTACAGGTATCTGCTGCTAATTGCACTGTGGTGAGGTCTCCAAGAATGAAGACTCCACAGCCTCCCTGGGCAACCAGTTACCAGTTCTCAGCCACCAAAAGAAAGCAAAAGGAAGTGTAGGCCTCCTGTTCCACAGAGGAGGAGGAATAGATCCATGAGAGAAGAGTTACAGACCCACAAGCCCACCACATGGGTCTCCTAATCGTGTGGCAGTCATAGGCCATTTTGCCATTGCCAGTCTACTGTGTATACTTACTGCCCACATAGTGATTTAGCTCAGCCCAAGAGTTGGGTCCCATTTGACTACAGCTTTTGCTGTAGCAACTGAATAAATTTTGTTTTTTCTTAATGAATTAAATATAGGAGCAAGGTGCCCGAATTCTTTGTTGTCCTGTCAAAAGACATCCCATATGTATGCTGAATAGTTGGGTTTTTTTCAGAGATACACCTGAAATATAACTTGAGTACATGAATCACACTGATGTGTAGAATTTAATTGCGTTGTTTTACTTTAATCTTCTTCAAAGAGCCAAGAGCTTTTGAGTGTTATATTTGGAAATATTTGTTAAATCGTTTTGCATAAACTGCAGCAGCATCTAAATAAAAAATCACACCCTATCACCTCACTTTTTTTTTGTGTAATTCAGTTCATTAAGGTGTTTGATGTTGATTTCATTTTGCCCACAACAGATTTTAGCTGAGCCTGGCAACGCCTCATTAGGAGATTTGTCATTGAAGTCTTAAGACTAATCAGGGGTTTTTAGTGTGCGCCTCTGTTCAAGGGGACTTTCAGTGCTTCGTGTGGAAAGCACAGCCCATTTAGTGTTGCATTTATCCTCTGACCCAAGTCGAGATCCATTTATCAGTTATAGCTGTCCATCGGAAAAAAGGCCTATTCTGGTCTGTGCTAAACGAAAAGGAATGAACCTCAACAGCTTCTGTTTGGCTGCCATCAACAGGCCACACACCTTTCCAGATATTAAATTATGAGTTAATACGGTATTTTATTAGCTTAAATGATGAGTTAATACGGTATTTTATTAGCTCTGCCATTTTAGTGAAAGGGCTTGGTTTGGCCATAATGTGAGGCCTGCTTGTATATTTTTATTTTGCATCCTCATGGTTTCAGTTAATAGGCTCGAGTAGAGGTGGATCTCTGGGAAGATGGATGGCAGCAAAATTTGAAGTAAAGACTGTGTGTAAGTACCTACAGTGAACTGCATGCGACATCTGGTGATTCAGACGATGAAGGGCCGGGAGCACCTTCCACATGAGGAAAGGCTGGGAGAGCTGGGTCTGTTCAGCTGGAGAAGAGGAGGCGGAGGGGGGATCTTGTCAGTGCTTCTCAGTATCTAAAGGGGGGGTGTCATGAGGATGGGGCTCTTCTCAGTGGTGCCAGTGACAGGACAAGGGGCAATGGCCCCTAGATGTTCGAATGGTTAGCGTTTACTGACTGTTGCCATGAAATAGGTACCACTGAGGCAGCTCGATTGCCCACAGCACAGAAAAACCCTCCAACTCAGAGCTGCCCCTCTACATCCGAGGGAAGCCTGCTGAGTGTTCTGCCCACAGGACTAGGGGGAAGGATGTTTGGGAGAGAGAAAGCAAACACTTATTCCTTTGCCTTCTTAGCCAAAATATAGGCCATTAAGCATTTTATTGCCCTCTGATTCCACATTTTTGAATCTCCATTCCCACTATGCTTGAGCAGCCATAAAATGTAGGAATGCCTCAACAACGTCTTCCTGGAGCCTTCTCTTCTCCAGGCTGAACAACACCAATTCTCAGCCTTTCTTCACAGCAGAAGTCTTCCACCTCTCTGATCATTTTTGTGGCCGTCCTCTGGACCTACTTTAAGAGGTCCATGTCTGTCTTGTACTGGGGACCCCAAAACTGGATGCGGTACTCCAGGTAGGGTCTCATGAAAGCAGCATGGAGGGGAAAATTGCTTCCCTCAGCTTCTGGCCACACTGCTTCTTATGCAGCCCACAACACGATTGGCTTTCTGGGCTGCAAGCACTCATTTCTAGCTCACATCCCATTTTTTGTTCACCGGTATCCCCAAATCCTTCTCAGCATGGCTGCTCAACCCCTTCATCCCCCAGTCTATCGATACTGGGAATTTCCCTGACCCAAGTGTAGGACCTTGCACTTGGTGTCATCTGCAGCAGCCACAGATGCGCGTGGATTTAAATAATGTGTGTTTCTGCATCCTTGGACCCAATCTCCATCTGGTGTATTTTAGTCACCAACGCTAGTATTTGAATTTAACTGTCCATATCTGTAAAAGTACTTGAAAAAGTGGTAGTTTGATCATCCTGCTGATGCACTGTTGTAAAGGAAATGGTGTCTTGTTTACTTAGTGTGGTACCGGTTTGGCTCCAGCACCTGAGTATGCACGATGAACTTCTGAACCCGCAGTATTGCCTGTGGGATTGATACTCTCTTAAATAAGTGAGCATTTGGGGTTTGCCTGGACAGGATGTAGTGAGATAATTGCAGAATCAGTTATCTTTTAACTGGCAGATAGAGCCTTTTTTTTTAATGTACTCTATTTAGCTTAACAAAAGAAAAAGACATTAGTCTTCAGTCTCTGCTACTTCATCATGTAGTTGAAGAATTGTAGGTTGATGGGCTGACACAGAACTCAGGCTCCTTGTCTGGAAGGAATCGGAGGTCTACATTGCAGTTCACATTCACGTTCTAGGTAGTCTTAATGTGCTCCCGAAGTTGTTTTCATCCTCCTTGCACTCTAGAGGTACACGACAGACTGTGCTGTAATGGTGATTTTTGAGTACAGCCCCGGGGAATAGATACAGGATGCAGTAGTTGACTGCTCACCTCTGCTGTTTGGCAGAAAAAACCAAACCACATCTTTAAAACCTTCCCCCAAACCTCCAGCCCTACTTCCCAGGCTACCTCCTCCCCTCCCAAAACCCACTCCCTTTGAGGTGGTCTTTGCTGGTTTGAACTGGTACAAGTTAAATTCGTGTTGCTGAGGTTTTTAAATGGAGAAAAGCTGAATAAGCCACCTGCAGTCTTGTCGTTCCAATATATTTCTTTTTCAACAAACCAGGAGGCACATTCTTTTGAAAGAAGCTTCTTGGGGTTTTCAGGAGGTTCTTCCATAAAAATAGCGGCATTGTCAAAAGATAATTGATTTTTTAATTGTACTCTCATTAGAGAAGATTATTTTTTCCTTTCTTCCTCATGCATCCCACAGGTCATAAACGTGGATGGAACAATGAGGAAAACCCTCCTAGAAGATAAGCTTCCACATATATTTGGATTCACGCTGCTGGGAGATTACATCTACTGGACGGACTGGCAGAGGCGAAGCATCGAAAGAGTTCACAAGGTCAAGGCTAGCAGAGATATCATTATCGATCAGCTGCCGGATTTGATGGGCCTTAAAGCAACGAGTGTTAGCAAAGTGTTTGGTAAGCCTGGGCGTCCATAGGATGGGTGTGGAGTAGTTTCTGGGTGGGCTTGTTCTCACTGAGCATCTGCTGGGTGCTTGTAGTGAGAATGTAGTGAGAATGACTGTAGGCTCGTGTGCTTGAATCCTTTTGAAGGGAAACTGCACCTCTTGTTTGTAAGGTTGGGAAAATGCAGTGTTGTAGGAGTATGGGCTTCCAGTTTTTAGTGAGGTTCGAGATTGTCTTCCACAGCTTCCACTACGCATCTAGAGGAATCATTCATTATTTCTGCTGCTCACTGAACTGTTCCACTTTCTCCTGCTGTTTTCTTCCAGTACAAAGTCCTGATGATGTTTAGTCAGCAGGATGCTTTTTTCTGTGTCGGGTGGTATAGGCGGGGTTAGTGGCCATTACGACGTTGCCTCAAAGCACGTGGCATTTAAATATTAACTTTTAACACCAAAATCATGCTTAAATCTTAACAATTAAATCTTGTCCTTAGCACAAAAGGTGCAGCCCGTGGTTTTTGGTCCTCTGCTCGCATTCTGTAGAGGAGTGTGCACAGAAATCTCCTGCCTTCGGTAGTAACTCACGAGAGGTGCGTGTTCACCACAGACCTGTCTACTGCCTGGGACACTGGAGTCGGGGCATTGCAGTAAACAGGTTCATTGGTCAGCTACTGAGAACAGTTGCAGCAGAATCACATGGAGTAGGTTGTTAAATTACACCCTGCCAGTACATGGATTTCCAGCCTTTCAGGAAACTTTAGTTGTAAGATAAACAAGTTCTCAGTACGACATCAGTCTGAAATATATATGTGTGCCCTAAAAAGCAAAAATTAAAAGAAAACTGGTTGAGGCTGATCTTGGAGTTTTTTATTTTTGGTGGTAACAGTCTTTAAATACCTAAATCCTTGGTTCCAGCAGATGGAGAAAGGCACTCATTTATCTTTTGGTCCTTACTTTCCCCTCCCCACTCCCTCCCCATCTAGTCATGGTTGTTCACACGAAAAAAATAAGTGTGAGATTGTGATGATCTTGTTGGAACTGCTTTTGCTAATGAATCTTTCAGCTTTAAATAAACAGCTGGGAAAGCACTGCAGTCATGCAGCTCTTTTCTCGCCATTTCATGTCATTGAGCATTGTAAAACCAGTGGTCTCAGAGAGATACAGAGATGGGGTACGTGGCCAAAAATAGCCAAGGTGAACGTGTATGTCATTACCTGCCTTCAGTGAAGGAGCTGGATCTTTGGGGAAACTAGAAGGGCACGTTTGTAGCTGTTATTTGTGCAACAGGAGGGATAGGACGAGCTTCCTAATCCTTGGGTAGAAGGAAAGAAACAGTTTTGACATTCTTTTTTAGAATTCCCTGTTGACAACCCATAGTGTTAACTTATTTTGAAAAATGGTAATTACAATGTGTTCCTGCTCAGCCTGCCCCTCTCCCCCTTTCCCCCTACCTCCACAATGCACTGATACCTGTTTTTTTGTTTGTTTTAAGGAACCAATTCCTGTGCAGAGAACAACGGCGGCTGCAGCCATCTGTGTTTCTTTACACCCCAGGAGACCAGGTGTGCCTGTCCCATCGGCCTTGAGCTGTTGAGTGACATGAAGACTTGCATCATCCCTGAAGCCTTCTTAGTTTTCACAAGTAGAGCAGCAATTCATAGGATTTCCCTTGAAACCAATAATAATGATGTTGCTATTCCTCTTACTGGAGTCAAGGAAGCATCTGCTCTGGATTTTGATGTCTCTGATAACAGAATCTATTGGACTGATGTTAGTTTGAAGGTATTACTGACGTGTGAATTCCCTGAATATAAAGCCACAGAGCAGTTACTTTGATCTAACAGAGGTCTCTGTTACATGATCTGTCCTGCAGTTGCTAATGTTGTCGTTGAATTGCATCCAGGGAGACTCTGGGAGATGAAGACGGTTGCATTGTTGAATGCACAGTTGGGTGACAGGCATCTTCCTGCTTCAAATAAAAATCCAAAGTGCTGTCTGCTCATACCGAACGCCCAAGTCTGGGATGCTGCATGTGTTGCATCCCTAGATGTATCTATTGTAGAGAACCTGGTTTAATGTCACGTAGTAGAGGAATTTAAACACCGAGCTTGGCACCCTCCCAGGCTTTCTCTCCTTCAGTTTTGACTTGGAAGGGAATCTTACTCAATATTAACATTTAGCAAGTGAGCTTTGGAGGGGTTGCTGTTAGCCTGAGGCTCCAGCTTGGCACAGAAAAGGCCAGGGAACTTGTCCACCCGCCTCCACTCTGTGTTAAGGCCCCAGCTGCCCCCAGTTCTGTGTCCAGTGTGTTCCCCAGGAGTTTGACGTTTCCTGTTGGTTCACATCCATGTGCTAAAGCGAGCGCCGTGTTGTTCATCAGTTTTACTTCACTTTTTGAAGTGAATTAAGTAGGGGTGGAAAATGATTGATTCACTTCCCTGGAACTGGATTTGTCTGTTTAGCCTCAATAGATTTCCCGCGAGCAATCAAAGTTTCCGTGCCAGTGTGCCTAAGCCATAACAGGGAGAAGCTCGGTTCTAGTGACTGCGGGACACGGGCGGCTTCCACAGCCTCCCTGAGAAGACCGATGAGGGCTGTGCTTCAGTGCTGCCTGTGGTGTGGAGACCTTCCCTTCAGGAACAGTGCCTGTGTAATACGTTAGTGTACTGCAGACACTGTTCCTAAATAAACCTCATGCAAGCGCGGGGAGAGCCGGAGCTATGGTCGTCTTAACCATTTGTAGTGGAAAACACGTTACTTGACTGCGTCAGTGCATGGATCCCAGTCTTGCTCTATGCAGAACTGGAAAACTGGTGAAAAAAAGAAGTATTTACTTAAATTTTACCGGTCTGTGACCTCCTGAATTACCCAGTATGCTGTATTTTCACGTGTGTTTCAGCACATCTGGGTTTTCATTCCCTCTGTCCTCCCACCTCCTGCAGCTTATCAGCAGGTTGCGTGGCTTCAGAGCCCATAGTCGTCTCGCTTCCCTTTGGGAACCACCACTTCCCCGGTCGTCTTCTGTACTCGTCCCCCTGTACTCGGCACTGGTGAGGCCGCACCTTGAGTACTGTGTTCAGTTTTGGGCCCCTCACGACAAGAAAGACATTGAGGTCCTGGAGCGTGTCCAGAGAAGGGCCACAAAACTGGTGAAGGATCTGGAGAATATGTCTGATGAGGAGCGACTGAGGGAACTGGGCTTGTTTAGCCTGGAGAAGAGGAGGCTGAGAGGAGACCTGATCACTGCCTACAACTCCCTGAATGAGGTTGTGGAGAAGTGGGTGTTGGTCTCTTCTCCCTAATGACAGATGATCGGACGAGGGGGAATGGACTCAAGCTGCACCAGGGGAGGTTTAGATTGGACGTAAGGAAGAAGTTCTTCACCGAAAGGGTTATCACACACTGGAACAGGCTGCCCAGGGAGGTGGTGGAGTCACCATCCCTGGATGTGTTTAAGAGACGGGTGGATGAGGTGCTGAGAGATAGGGTTTAGTGGCGGACAGATATGGTTGGACTGGATGATCTCTAAGGTCTTTTCCAACCCAGTGATTCTATGATTCTGCCTCTGGTTCCCTGAGGGCTCGTTTTCAAAAAGGAGTTACACTTTTTCTGAGATGTGGGTCGTACCTGTAAAAGTACAGTACGTGATTTCTGGTTTTGACCTTAACCTTTAAAAACCATAAAATGTCTCTTAGGCTGGTGAGTGCATGTATCAAATTACTCAGAAATGAACAGCTGAAATACAAGACGGGATGCAGAATGATTGCTGAGTGTTGGTGCCACGGCTGGGTAATCATATGTTGGTCCTGGAAGGCAGCGATGGTTGACCCGGGGTTGGTTTCAGTGCTCCGTGGTAGGAGCGGTTTATCCGTACCTACGCAGGCCCTGCCCTGCGACTCGAGCGCCCGTAGCTGAAATGCACGTGGGACCAGCAAACTTGCTCCAGGTGACTGGTCACGAGAAACAGTTTAAATCAAATTTCTCTGAACTGGGGTGTAACCTAAAACATTACAGTGAATTGAGGAATTTAAAAAAACACCTAATTATGTGTGCAAATAGAAGAGAGGGAGAAAGGGCAAGGAAGAATCTGCAGATAAATAGTGCTTTATGAAAATCAGATCCTTTTAAGATGTCTTGGACTGGTCGTCAGGAACCAGTAGCTTTCTGAAAATTCAGGTCTTTTTAGCCTGGGAATTACTCTGTTCTCTTTTGACAACAGAAATTTCTTTTAAAAAATGTAACACTGGCTGATTTTTTTTTACTCATTTCTTTGTGTACACTGAACTTCATAATCCTTACTCCTTTTTGTTTCAGTGGGATAGCCGTAAACACCGTAACGTTTTTACACAATTCTTTTCCAGACCATAAGCCGAGCTTTCATGAATGGGAGCTCCGTCGAGCATGTGATTGAGTTTGGACTAGATTATCCAGAGGGAATGGCTGTAGACTGGATGGGAAAGAACCTCTACTGGGCAGATACTGGAACCAATCGCATTGAAGTCGCCCGCCTGGATGGACAGTATAGGCAGGTCCTTGTGTGGAAGGACTTGGACAACCCAAGGTCTCTGGCTCTCGATCCTACCAAAGGGTAAGGGACAGTGATGCTTTTCAGAGCTTTGTGTGCCTGTTCTTGTATGTGACGAGTTAATTGACAGGTTATATAGCTCCGTTTCTTCAGGGCCTTTGACAAGGGGGGTTGGAACTAGATGATCTTTAAGGTCCCTTCCAACCCAAACCATTCTATGATTCTTTGAAGGCAATAAACACTCTACAAGCTTGTGGGTTACAAGAATTGCCCATGATATATCTTTTGCCTCTCTCTAGAAAAGGAATACCGTAGTACTGCACGTAGGCACATGTTGGTTTATGTTGTTAAGAACTGGAGATAAGTTCAGCAAAATCAAAACATGCAGCTAAACAGGATCTAGCCGATACACTCTTTACTCCACTTCTCATTGCAGGTACATGTACTGGACTGAATGGGGAGGTAAACCACGGATTGTTCGAGCGTATATGGACGGAACAAACAGCATCACTTTGGTGGATAAAGTGGGCCGTGCCAATGACCTTACGATCGATTACGCGGACCAAAGGCTCTATTGGACTGACTTAGACACCAGCATGATTGAGTCATCAAATATGCTGGGTAAGCTAGTGTTCTGTTACACCAGCTAGCACAGAAATATGGACTGACTGTAGTAAAGCACTTGAATAATAGGAAATTGGAATAATCTAAGTAAAATTAAATCTGTGTGTATATTTTTCTTATGAGAGGAAATGGAGAGTTAAATGTTTAAGGAGATAATTAAAAAAGCTTCCTAAATTAATAACCATGATTATTTAAAGTGATGGTGAGAGATGATATCATTTCTCTGTATTGATACGAAACTGCCTGTGTTTGACCAAAGCAGAGATGACCTCTGAGTTTCTCAGCGTGAGGACAACTTACAGGTTCCCTGTAAAACACCCCCGGCTTTTCAGTCTGCGCGCTACTTCTCTGTTGAAGTATTATCTCTGTTTCTAGCTTCAGACTCGCTCTGTTGGTTCAAAACCAGAACACTGCTTTGCATTTCCTGCAGTCTGAAAGGTTGTGCCGTTACTTCTGCCGTGTATCACAACATGCTCTGCAGACAAACTTCTGCCATGTATCATAACCTGCTCTGCACACAACTGTACGCGTTTCCTACCTTCCCTCGGAGTTTTGTTCATGCGTGCGCTCGACGGCGTGCTCAGATTTACTGAACTTTCTCACTGATGCCGACACCGAACTGACTGGATGGAAGCAGAGAGTTTTGTTTTCTGCAGCTGACACAGAGCATTTGTGTGGGCCAGATGTTTTGTAAATAAAATGGTCTTCCGGGTTTTAGCTGAGGCAGATACGAAATCCTGTTTGAGAAAACAGAGTTTAAGTTTCCAAGTGTCACAGAGTGACTCAATGATAGGATGGGAAATGGAATCCAGAAGTTCCTGACCTGTCATTCTGTCCCTGTTCCATTTCCAAGGAGAAGCCTTTGTGAGATGGGAATTAATGCTTTTGGGATTCCAATGTAAAAACCAAAGTTTATCAGGGAGAACAGGCATGTATTTAAGCAAACTTACAGGATTGTTACAGCAGTGCTCTGATTGGTGACGGGTATCATTTCACTGCAACTGGGGTGTTTGTGTGTGTTTTGTTAAATCTGTGAAAAGCTACCATTAGAGTGAGGGTCTTGGTTTTTAAGGCGTTATTGTACGTATCTTCAGAGTTATCTACTAAGCTTAGGAAAACAGAGCAGTGCAGTTTTGGATTCAGAGGCTGTGGCTGATTCTGCATTTCTTGTATCTGTTGCTTTGGGATGACAGCTGTTGTATGGATGTTACCGTTGAGAAATTGCAGTGAGATTGTTTCTTTATCTAGAGTTGGGGTTTTTTCCATCCAGAGTGCATCTACCAAAGCTCTCACTAACCTTCTGCCTTATGCTGAGAGAAACAGCATAGCTGGAGGCAGGCTTGAACTGGAAACTGAGTGTGGCATTGTCAGGAAATACGGTATTGAAATCATCCGTGGTAAATCAAACTGTTCTAAAGCTGAACCTACCGTTAACTTTGGTTTGTGGTGAGGAAGTAAGATGAGCGCTGGGGCTGACAGTGTTGTATGATGGTTTTTTAGTTAGCAGATTGTAAAGACTCAGACTTCTAGCAAGTGGGCTCATCGGTTAAGGAAATGTTACTGGACTCAGTCTACGTTACGCCGTGCCGCTCTCCTTGCCAGGAGAGGTCTGGATGCGTGTTGCGGGTAGAAACCTCTACCCCACCTGCAATGGACAGAAGTACTCTTAAGTGGATGAATGAATGCTGTCCCAGCTTAATCTGTGGGATTATAAACATTACCCAGCAGGAAAAAGAAAAATCACTCTTTTGGGAGATTTTACTCCATCTGCTATCAAAATTCAATTAGACAGCTTATCTGCTTCCTTCAAAAAAGCCTGTCCCCTGAATTCATCACTGGACCAGAATTGCTGTAAGAAGTACTTGAGAATGTGCAGGGTATCTGTGCCCCGAACTTGGACGCTTTAGATGGCTGAAGGTAGTTGGGAAAGTTGCCTCTGTATTTAGTTCTGGTGGTTTATAGGAAAATCACGTTGTAGTTGGGTTTTTCATTCCTTTTCCAATCTTGGCCAAATGGGAGAGAGCCTGATGGAAAGTAGGGCAGGGGAGGAAGAACGTGGTGTTCTGTAGAATCCAGCACTGGACGTTCGTTTGAGGTAGGAGAAGGTGATGCTGATGAAGGCTACCTCTTCCTCGGATGTGAAGGGGCAGAGGTTTATGTTTGGGAAGGTGACGGACAGAAGGACTTTATCTGCCTTAGGAGTGCCTCTCTGGCAGAGGCCGTCTAATGACCTCGAAGGTGTTCAGTCTGTTGTGAATGTTGCTGACTGACCCACTGAGTGTGGGCGTATTGGGGTTTCTGCCAAATGCATGGTTTCCTAATCTCTTGGGGTAGCTGTGTGTTAAATTGCACCGCAAAAGGTTGCTGTTTCTTGAGTGAAACACCATTAATTTCTCACTGCTGTTTCTCTGTGAATCTCAAGTTTGTTGTATGTTGTTGTTTTTGTGCATGTTAATTGGGGAGTTTATTGGCCTAAATGATTCAGGAGCTGACAGTATTCTTGTTCTCCAGTGTCTGTTTGGGATGGTAAGCGTCAGACACAGTAGTATTTATTTAAATGACAGTACACTGACACAGTTTCAAATTGCTTTATAGGCAAGAGGGTACCAGGATAAGGTTTTTAAATGCAAGTGTTCAGGTTACCTCTCGAGCAGATACTGCTTAATAATGAATCCCATGGTGCTGACTTGGGAAATGAGGTTTTATTTTAAAAGGGGAAGAAAAAAACCCATTTTCTTGGTGCCAGTCACACTCTTCATTTCATGACTAGGGGATTGTCCTTTAGTTGATTATCCTTACTTTTGCAGGACAAGAACGAGAAATCATAGCAGATGATCTACCTCATCCATTCGGATTAACCCAGTACAGTGACTACATCTACTGGACAGACTGGAATCTTCACAGCATAGAGAGAGCAGACAAGACCAGTGGGAAGAACAGGACACTTATCCAGGGCCATCTGGATTTTGTGATGGATATATTGGTCTTCCATTCTTCACGTCAGGATGGCTTGAATGACTGTGTACAAAATAATGGCCATTGTGGTCACTTGTGCCTTGCCATACCGAATGGCTTTAGGTGTGGCTGTGCTGCTCATTATACCTTGGATCCCAACAGCAGGAACTGTAGCTGTAAGCCTTTTTGTTTGCTACTATATACTTCGGTGTTTGTGGCTCCCAGGTGCTTGTGATCCCTTTCAGTGTAGAAAGGGAAGGGATATCACGAGTCCCATTCAAAGGTTCTAGCTTTGAAGGTGATCTTTAAATATGAGCCCAGAGTATGGAGTTTTATATCCATTTTTGTGACATGAATTAGAGCTGAAGATCTGTATTTCATATCTTACTAACAGCATTGTCAAGTCTGGTCTTTCTTGTTTTACTAGAATTGCTTTCCAAGTGATTCAGCAGTGTCATTGAAGCTTTCCTAATCCTTATCTAAGTGTTTAGGTGGGTGGAAGAGAAATTCTAAACAAATCGTGCCTTTCTCTCTTAAGTGCTTATTAAAGTCAGCAGAAATAACATCCAGTAGAACAGCCTCCTAAGTAGCCTGCGCGACGTGCACGTGCACTTGAAATTCATGTGTTTATTTTCATGTGATGTCATGAGCCTGCCAGTTCACCAGATGTCCACTAAGAATTTAGGTTTCTAGGAAAAATAGCAGATGAAGAGCAAACGGACGGTTAACTTTTAAAAAAGTAAACCACCAAAGCTTTGGGCATCCTGGCACGGTAGCATGTAAGAAAATTTTAACTGGATAAAAGGATAGGTTTATGAAAGGCAGGTCCTGCCAGACTAACCTGATCTCCTCCTATGACAAGGTGACCCTCTTAGTGGACGAGGGAGAGGCTGTGCAGGCTGTTAGCAAAGCCTTTGGCCCTGTTTCCCACAGCATTCTCTTGGAGAAACCAGCTGCTCATGGCCTGGAGGGGTGTGCTCTTTGCTGGGTCCAAAACTGGCTGGCTGGCCGGGCCCCAAGAGTGGTGGTGTATGGAGTCAAATCCAGTTGGCAGCCGGTCACAAGTGGTGTTTGTTCCCCAGGGCTCAGCGCTGGGGACAGTTCTCTTTAGTATCTTTATCAGTGACCGGGATGAGGGGATCGAGGGCCCCCTCCGTCAGTTTGCAGATGACACCACATTGGGTGGGAGTGTTGATCTGCCTGAGGGCAAGAAGGGTCTCCAGAGTCATTTGGACAGGCTGGATCCATGGGCTGAGGCCAATTTTATGAGATTCAACAAGTTCCAGGTCCTGCACTTGGGCCACAACAACCCCCAGCAACTCTCCAGGCTTGGGGATAAGGGGCTGGAAAGCTGCCTGGTGGGAAAGGACTTGGGAGTGTTGCTCAGCAGCAGCTGGATACGAGCTGGCGTGTGCCCGGGTGGCCAAGAAGGCCAGTGGCATCCTGGCCTGCAGCAGGGACAGTGTGGCCAGCAGGAGCAGGGCAGGGATTGTGCCCCTGTGCTGGGCACTGGTGAGACTGCACCTCAGATCCTACGTCCAGTTTTGGGCCCCTCGCTTCAAGCAAGACACTGCGGGGTTAAGGTAGCATGTGCGGAGAAGGGAATGGAGCTGGGGAAGGGGCTGGAGCACAATTCCTGTGAGGAGTGGCTGGGGGGTTCAGCCTGGAGAAAAGGAGGCTCAGGGAGACCTTATTGTTCCCTACAACTCCCTGAAAGGAGGGTGCAGAGAGGGGAAGGTCCGTCTCTTCTCCCAAGTGACAACTGATGGGACAAGAGGAAATGGCCCGAAGTTGTGCCAGGGGAGGCTTAGATTGGATATTAGGGAAAATTTCTTCACCTAAAGGGATATCAGGCATTGGAATGGGCTGCCCAGGGCGGTGGGGGAGTCACCATCCCTGGAGGGATTGAAAAGCTGTGCAGACGTGGTGCTCAGGGACATGGTTTAGTGTTGGACTGGGCAGTGCTGGGTTGGTGGTTGGACTCGATCTTAAAGGTCTTTTCCATCCCGAATGATTCTGTGGTAACGTAGGGAAACCTGTGAGTGTATTGCCAGCTGTCACTGGTGTTCCTGAAATTCCACATGGGGAGCATAGCTACAGTATGGAAAGGGAATGCTTTCTGGATGAGGGTGTGCACATTTACCCTCCAGAAGTGCACAAAGAAACATTTCTATCTTAATAGCATAAATCTCCATTTATTGGTTACCTTTGTTTTCACTGTCAGTATAATTGTCCATCTGGGATTTTGTCCTAAATGTTGGTTTCTGTGTTGGGTGTATTTTTGACTGTGTGAGTTGCATTTTTCTTAGCATTCTGGTTTGGCTTGTTGCAGCCCCTGCCAGCTTCCTGTTGTTTAGCCAGAAATCTGCAATCAGCCGGATGATACCAGATGATCAGCAGAGTCCAGATATCATCCTGCCTATGCATGGTCTGAGGAATGTCAAGGCTATCGATTATGATCCCTTGGATAAATTGATCTACTGGGTGGATGGACGTCAGAATATTATAAAGAGAGCCAAAGACGATGGCACTCAGGCAAGTTTACGTGGTGTATAGGGTTTTGCCTTAATCTTCTTGTGCGCTTTCTACTTTACGCTTGACTTTCCCCTTCCGTCCTCTGCACCAAGGAATCGTTTGTTTAAACTTTGCTCTTGCCAGCACTTCTTCATACGTATCCTGTCGGTACGTGAAAATTACTGAAGGCTTTTAGGGTCATGATTTTAATTTGTTTACGAAGAAGTGTGATGGAATGTAGTGCATCTTATGTATCTGAAACTGTGAGCCTTGAATTGCAATCTGTATTTAAAATGGGCACTGAAGGAAGGCAGACTCACCATTTATACTCAGGACTGATAAATTATATCCTAAATTCAGTACCATGCATGCCAGTTGGGTGGTAATGTTGTCAGCGTTGGAAAGCGCTCTCAGAATGAAAACTCTCCGCTCTCCAAATTGTAGTTAATCCCTGAGTAAATGTAGAGTTGCTTGCTATGCCAGTTAGGGATAGGCTTATCGGCGTGCTTAATTGTTTTGCTGAGCTGGGGACATCGCTCTCTCGTGGTAGTTACTCACGCAGCAGTGGGAAGTAGCGTAGGGTTCTTCCAGGCACTGTTATGTGTTAACATGGCTTAACTCCCAGGTCAGCAGATTCTTTAAAATCTGTGGTTTGAATAGGAATATAAAAGAAAATGGGGAGTGGGCAGGTTATATTTTCCTAGTTCTTGGGCAATCTAAACAATCTGACGTTGTATGAGTGGAAATGGGCTGGTCTCTTCATGCATCTAGGGACTTAGAGGTGTGCGGGTTTCCTTTAAAGGAAGAGGTGGCAGCTTTAGTTTTTTGGCCATTTCTTTAAAGACTGGGAGAAGGTATGTTGGGATGAGAAGCTAGCTGGCTTGTGGATGAATTTTGAAGAAGTTTTGCTCTTGCTTTTTGGGTTTATGCTAGGTGCTAATTGTTGTAGTCTGGCTTCTCTTTGGTACTTGCTAGGTGCAAATTGCAGTGGGGATTCATTTTCTCTGTGTTCTTTACCCTGGTCACGCAGCTTTGAAGATGTAGATCCCCTGCAAATTTTGACTTTCTGGTTTTCACTGACTATATTTACTTAATTTTGCTAAATTGTGCTGTTTGCAGATGATGCACGTGAATTTCATACCTGGGTACCTTTGATCTCAGGAAAAGAATGATTTCTTTTTATTTCTAGGCACACTGTCAGGACAAAAGAGGGATAAAGCTTTATATAAAAAGAAAAAAGCCTGCATATCACTATGCAGAACTTGGAGGCTTAAAACCAAATTGTGGAAATCCAACTTTCACAAGTAATGCTGTGTTGGGTAATTCAATTGACTTAAGCTGAGCACAGAATGGTGTCTTCAGCTTTCCTGACCCACGTGAACTTTGTCTTGTACTGGTTTTGTGTTTGGCTTGGGAGCGCCGCACTAGGACCCGTAAGGAAACCACCGTTTCCCCCTCAGCATCATCGTGTCACCAGCAGCAGTCACCTTTGAAGGCTGCTTTGATGCTGGGAGTCTTGCCAGCAGGATTACTATCCCAATGGCACTGGGAGTGTCTGTACACTGGTGGAGCCTGTGTAACGTCAACCAAACAACAGAGACATTATTTTCCTTTATGGATTTTTTTTATATGCTCTAGTGCTCTTCACATAAGTAAAGTATTGAAGTCTGTGTAAGTACTCAACATGGAGTTAAAAAGTGTAGTAAATAGTAGTTAGTTAGATTGGGATGGGTTGAGGGTGGTCATTTCAGGAACTTGGCAATACAAGTTTTGTAAGGTCTGTCATAAGCACACAAGGGTGACAGCAGGGTGATGTTGTTCGCCTGGGTGTGAGGCACAGCTGTAGCCATTGGACATGTAAACAAACAGAACCAAGTTTCACTGAAAGATTTTAGTTTTTAAGAGAACCCAGGACTGACAGAAAATCACTACCTACTACACTACAAATAATAAAGTAAGGAGGCTGTGGCAAGAGAGCCAGATTGGTTCAGCTGAGTCTGTAGCAGTGCAGGTCTGACCAGAAGGCTGCCTTGTTTCTTGCCTTGTTTCAGTCAAGATTGTCCCATGCATAAACACGTTTTTCTTCCCTTTCCTGCTAATTAACTCTCCTTATAGGAAGCCCCACAACTGCTTTCTGGGGAGTTTTACATAATCTTACAGATTTTGTCCAGATGTTTTTCCTCTAATCCATAGTTTGAATCTTTTCTTGTTAAACTCTGTCGCATTTGTTGTTTCCTTGTGGATAGTTTTAGGTGTTTCTGGACTGCCAGGTAGGTAAATGGTGCTTTCTGTACAATCAATGTTCTTCAAGCAACTATCAGAATGATTACTGGAAGTTGTTCCCCATGCGTTGTCTTGCAGCCTTTCACGGTCATGAGTACTCCAAACCAGAGCCAGAACCCAGAGAAGCAGCCACACGACCTCAGCATCGATATATACAGCCACACCTTGTACTGGACCTGTGAGGCCACAAATTCAGTCAATGTCCACCGGCTGAATGGCGAGTCCATTGGGATGGTGCTGCGAGGGGACCACGACAGGCCCAGAGCCATTGTGGTGAACGCAGAGCGAGGGTGAGATTCCTCTCTGTACCTTGCACAGAGCACTCTTGGGATGTGTCAGCTGTGTGTGTGAATCGTGTGTTGCATCTGTATGTTTGAAAGAGGAGAAAATTTGCTTATTTAACTGTTGAGGATGTAGGTGACTGCTTGTCCAGTTCTGGCTTTCAGAGGTACCCAGCTCTCTCTCCCATTTTCTCCTCTGCTGCCAGCCTGGACATTCCCACAGCCGTGGGGTTGGTTACAGTGAGGAACTAACCCAGGTGAGCAAAGCAAAGCAAAACCACCGTATGGTGTTTGTGGCGTAAGTGCACAGCGTCCCCCCCACCCCAGCAGGAGAGTTTACAGTGTTTGTATCAGCTGGGGATCTGGCTCAGAAATGTTTGCTCATCATAAACCAGATGTTTCCAGGGACAAAAAAGTTGTGTCTCACACGATACAGCTGTGCCTGGGAAGGGAATGGTATAAAGTCAAACAAACCCCTCCTGTTCTCTACATTTTTAAGTTTGTTCTGCCTTGATGTGTATCTCAAGAGCTTCTGAAATTCATTAGAACAGGTAGGATGCACTAGAGTGATTCCCCCCAGGAGAAAAATGTGCTGCTTTGCTGCAAAGCAGTTTTGGTTAGGCTCAGCAGACCCCACCTCCGCTTCGGGGGGTTGGCAGCCACGTTCTCAGAGGTCAAAGGTGGCCCTTTGCTGTTCTCTTTAGTAGGTTAGATGCTTAAATACCAGCTTACAAGTACCCGGCTTCCTGTGTGCTTGGCAGATGTTGGATGGTCAGGTTTTGTAACGGTGTGGGTGCAGTCCTGCCCAGAGCCTCTGCCTAGAGCATTTACAGGGTTGGTGTGTTGTGCAGCACTCGGTGTACCCTGCCCAGTTCAAAAGCTGGTGTGGGGAGAGGGGCATCAGAGAAAAGACTCTAATCTCAGTGTGACTTGGGCATACTTTGTGTTTCCAAAACCTTATCTGCTTCCTCCATTAAAATGGAAGTTGGGGTGTGTTGATTCCAAACCACTCAGCTTTTCTAGTCAGGTTTTCAAATGATTTCAAGATAAATCTGTTCCAAAATTAAAGGAGGAAATGATGGGGGGAGGCTGTGCTGAACACTGTGACTACCTGGGCGAGCTGAGTGAGTGAGCTCTGTGCTGAACTTCTGCCTTAGTCCCAGGAACCCTTCCCTCTGCCTCTCCCTTGGCTGCCCCTCCTGCTTGTGCTGGCAACGTCCGAGGGAGTTCACCCGCTGAAAAAAAGGTGGGCTTTTCTCCGAGGAAGTTCTCAGTTCCAGACGTGGGTGCATCAGCCCTTTGTTTTTCCTATGCAGGGGGAGGGCAGATGCTGCTTCTGTTTGCAGGTGGACTGGATTAGGCAAATAGAAGGAACTTTAGACACCAGGAACGTGCCATCCTCAGTGGTTGTTCCTTCTGTGGTCTTTGCTGCTCTCCAGTTTGGTAGGAACTTCTCCGTGCTGGTCAGGAAGGCAGCCTCGAAGGGGAGGAGGTGAAGGTCAATGGTTTTTGTCAGAAAGAGCTGCTGGGTGTTGGGGACAGCTTTACCCAAGGGTGATGGCAGAGTGTCCGTGCTAGTCCCGTACAACCCCCAACACCGCTGCCGGAACAGTGCTGCCCACGCAGCAGTGCTGAGGCATTTCGTGGCCTGCTGTGTTAAGCACAAATGCTATTAATTTCAGGCTATCTCAGTAAGCCAGGTAGCAAATATTTGGGGTTCTGCAGGTGACAGGTCTGGGTCTTTGCAGCTGGGAGTAAGTCAGCACGGTCGTTCCTGTGTAAACCATTCCCACTTAGGATGGAGAAGCTGTGTGCGAAGATGAGTTGCCTCCCGCCCAAAGCCGCCGGTTAAGCAGCTGGTGTTTGTGTCCTCAGGTACATGTACTTCACCAACATGCAAGAGCGAGCGCCCAAGATTGAGCGTGCAGCCCTCGATGGCACAGAGAGAGAAGTGCTTTTTACGACTGGGTTGATCCGACCAGTAGCACTGGTGGTTGACAACAAACTTGGGAAGCTTTTCTGGGTGGATGCGGATCTGAAGCGCATCGAAAGCTGTGACTTGTCAGGTAGGTGGTATGCGGTTGAGCACTCGGAGTGGAGTGTGTGGATGTATGGGACGTCATTCCGTCTTTGATGCTGACCCCAGTGGCGTCTCCCTCCACGGTTGCCAGTTCTGTGTAGGCAGTCACCGATAGCAATGGCAGGTGGACTCCCATCTTTGATGTGATTGGGATGAATGTGTCTGTAATGATTGCCACCCTCCAAGACAGCCATCTGACTTCTTGTGTGTTCTGAATGCAACTCTTGTAAGACCAGGTTTGAACAGGTGTTGCCAGGCATAGACCCCTACATCACCTCCCCCATGCCCTTTTTTATTTCCCTTATTGATGGGGTCACAGCTAAAGAATCAAACCCTGTAGGTAAGATAAATGCAGGAGAAAGCTGCAGGTTTTAAAGAAAATCAGAGGATATGTACCAGGTAGCCCAAAAACTGTGGTGGTATTTGGTCCAGCTGAGCTCACTGTGACTTGATTCACTGAGCTGTTTTTAAATGAGTCAACAGCATATTTTTAATTTAAAATATTTGCAGCCTTGCATCACTTCAGAAGACATTTGACAGCCAAGGTTTTGTTGGCTTGAATTACCTTATTATTACAACCTTATACCCTCGTAGGCTTGAGGACGTGATGTGACTGTGGAGGTTTCTGAAGCTTGCACTACACCCTCATTAATAGCATCCTGCTAAATCATGGAATAACCTCAGGTCTCCAGTGCCCGACTTTCAGAGAGGGATGAAAGGACTGTAAACCTGACTAATTGTTTTCTTTACGGGTTTTTTTAATTTTTCAAATGGAGTTGTTGATGCTTTATAGACATTCATAAACCATTTGCAAATAACTTGTCCTCCACACCAGTCAGTAAAAAAGTAGTGGTTTGTATTACTGTTGAAGCGACTGGGAAAGCTCTAACATCGCTGCAGTGACAACGTGCTTTGTTTTCAATTAGACTTTAAACAGAGGAATTGTGTGTCCTTCCAGCTCAGTGTTCTTTACATTTAACTATTGATTTCCATCTTGAAAAGACTGCACCCTGTTTCATTCTGAGAATCAACGTGTTCATTTGCTATAGAGATTCAGCACTTCTTGTCACGTGTTTTCTCATCTTTTTCTAACCATATCTGTTGAAAATATCCTTTTATTTATTCAGATGAAGTTTTTCATTTTGATCATTCTTGTAAACAACAACCTAATGGTGTCATCCAGTGCTGTGGGTGCCCTTTGCCTCTCGTAATATTCGGTACCAGTTTGGACTGTCATTCACTCACGAGCACATCCGGCGTACGTATGATATAGATTAATCACCATATCCAGTGCTGTCTCCAGCACCTTCCCAAATCACCATTGTTCAGCTCTTTGTAGCTTACAGATTCTGTTCTTTTACTCTGTTACAAGAGTAAAATCCAGTGGTGCTTTGGGAATGTGTACAGTAGACACGGCAGCGTACAGCCAGGGCATGTTTCTTCTGAAAATTGAATGAAACGAAGACTTCTTCCTCACTTGTTTGGAAACCAAAGAAATTCAGGGCTAACACACTAAATTCCCCATTCCAAGTCCAAGAATTTCTGATCTTTCCACAGCAACTTTGTTTTGAATGCGCCCTCTTTGTCGTGACAGTCAAGCAGGAGTCGTTGCCGGCGGTAGTTTTATGTCCAAAACTGCTAGGATCTGTAATTGAGATAAATGTTATATTCTTACGCTTGGTTGAGCTCTGCATAGTGTATGCAGCAAATCAGGCGAATCCAGTGCTCGTAGTGTTACTTATCCAGATTCTGTAATCTCATTCTGTGTACATATCCAAAACTTTTATGTTCCAAATGCAAGCAGACGTAAGGTCTTTATTCCAAAATGAAATACGAGAGCGGAAGAAGCACCAAGTTACAATTTTGCTTTGATTCCTCATTTTTAATATCAAATCTATCAAGTATACAGAGTCATACACAGCCTCCAAATGGTTTCTGTGAATTAATGGAGTAATTTGGAATCTCTTGTTCACTCTAGACAAACGTAACAAAAGCAACAAATAGATGCCACTGAGTGTAGGGCAGCACATGGTAGAAAACTGCAAGCAGTTAAATGAAAAGCAGTCCTAAGGGCATTTTTACTTAACCTGATTTTTGCGCATTGGCCGAGGGCAGGTTTTTGCACATCTCTGTAGAGCAGCAATCCTGAGCGTTTGACAGTGTTCCTGTTGAAGTATGGCGTTGCTCGGAGTGTGGGTTTTCTGGTTGGTTACTGAAGGAAAAAGAGAAGGTGAAGAACGAAGCATGGCTGTTAGAATATGAGCTGTTCTTCCGTGGTTATGGATCTGTGGTTGGGATAGCGCACGTGGCAGGGTGTGCGCACTGGCTTTGCTTTGCGTGCTGAACGCGTTTTATCTGGGTAACGGCAGCGAAGCCGATGGGTTGTATTTCACTCGTGCTTGCAGATTCCAGCCAGTGTACTGCTTGGGGTGGGAATGTGTGGGAAATATTTTGGCCCAAGAGCTGAAGTTTTCATATCATATCTGCTTGCCCTTGAGTCATGGCAACCGGTTGCATTTACCTGAGATGAGGCTGAACAAGCAGAGCCTTGGCCTGCACAGACAAATGGAGCCAGTGGCCCTATAACTAACCATTTCCAGGGTTTGGCTTGGGTTTATGGTTTTTTGAGAAATGAGTTAAAAGTCAGCTGGTGTAACACTCGTCTTTGGTTTTGCTCAGGTGCTAACCGTGTGACCCTGGAGGACTCCAACATCCTTCAGCCGATGGGACTGACTGTACTGGGAAATCACCTGTATTGGATTGATCGGCAGCAGCAGATGATTGAGAGAGTGGAGAAGATGAACGGGTACAAAAGGACTAGAATTCAAGGCCGGATCGCTCACCTAACAGGCATTCATGCTGTGGAAGAGCTTGATATGGAGGAATTCTGTGAGTTTATTCCCATATCTGATGTCTTTCGCTCCTGGTCACTGTCTCTCAAGGTCCTCATCCAGCTGAATATTGTACTAACGCTGCCCAGTAGGCTTCAGGGAGTGGATTCACCTTGGCCAGCTGGGATCTGAGAATGGGAGGAAAAACCAGTTCCTCATTCCTGTCCAGAGGAGTATCTCTGCACAGCTGGAGTGTGTGATATCACAGCATTTACGTACCTGCTTCGTACAAGATGACATGATACTGAATTCACTCTGAAAGCTACTTACAGCTGTTAATTTTTTAAGTTCAGCCAAGCAATAAGACTTGGAAAAACCTTTAAAAAGAAAGAAAATTATTGTACTTGCCTTTTCTCCAAGGGTTTCAGACCCCAGTGTGGAGCATGACTGGTTTGACTTCACACAGTTGACGGTGGAAAAGCCTCCCATGAGGGAGGCAGAATGGGCAGGAAGCTCCTACAGTGAATGATAGTGGATGTGGAATTTTTCTCCTAAAATTTGATTTTAGGTTTTTGATCGGATTTTAGGTGCTGCCTTCAGAAAGGGGTCACACATGCAGGACCTTCTTTTTCTGGCCTGTTGGTCCAAGTTCCCGTGGGCTGAGGGAGAGTGCAGAAACCCCTAGAAGTAGTCGCTCCTGAGAGTGACAACTTACACCTCCTCCTGCTTGCGCAGGAATATGAAAGCACGGTCAAGGTGTGGGAAGCAGAGGGCTAATGGCAGTGGCCCTTTTAAACTCTTGGCTGTTGTGAGTTGTCTTACACAGGGAGGGTGCATCTGTGTACAACGCTTTAATTTTCAGACTGAATTACTCCACTTTGTCGCCCTCTGTGCCGTGTACATTAGTTTCTGTGACAGCGGGAGGTCGTCTCAGGCTTGCCTGTGTGGGTAAGCTGGCACAAATAAGGCAGCGTCAGTATTTAAACTGTAGGAGACTGTGTGCTCCTCATCCAGGTGTTCTTTTTTCTTTCATAATACCCAGCTTTTCTTCTTCTGTGCCATTTCTCCTCTTTTTAGTGTACTTCAGAGGTAATGATGCAAAACGGATTTTTTTTCTTTAAGTTCCAGCACTGTTAAAAAGATTACTTTATATCCCAGTGTTTCTTTTTTTATGGCAAGGTTAGTGTTTCTTCTAAGTCACAGTGAAAGGAATCACCTTTTGCAGCTGAAAACTGTCCTACCTAGGTGACTTCTGTTACAACGGGGGAGTAAAAATACATCTGCACATGTGTGCATGCCCACACAAGTGTGCACGTGTGCACTTTTTCGGCTAGCAACCCCTGCTTGGAACAGCAGTGTCTCCAGCGTTGTGTGGAATTAGTGAATTTGTTAAAGGTGAAAGCAGATTGCTGAGAAGCCTGAACAGATGGAAAACAACTTTGGCACTGAAATGATGATATCTGTACCGTTTCTTCCCTGTGGAGGTTCTTCGTACTGAGCAGTTACAAAGAACGAGCAGGCGGGAGACTGGGTCTGTTCTGACTCCATTGGGCTGGGGTCCTCAGGCAGTGACCTCGCCTCTCCCTGCCTGTTTCTTACCCACCTGCTCTTCATTTAGAGCGATTCTGTTGGGAGCTCTGGGGTACTCAGTGCTTCTGGGTGACTGATTTGGAAACACAACCGTGTGGCTTCCTGGCTTTAAAAAAAATCAAGTGTGTCTGCTTGTATTGCAGTTCTGTCAGCAACAGGGACGTGGAGGGGCTAGATACGAAGAGTTTTTTAAGATTAAAGGAGAATTCCTGAGGGTTTTGGGGGTTGGCATTCTGCAGTGACGTACATTAACTCTTGATGCCTGGCTGCCCTAGAAGTGCAGGCGAGGCATCTGTTTGCTCTGTAAATGCAACCTTCTGAAATCTGCCTTCTGATTCCTCTTCGCCTGACCTCCCAAATTCTTTTTGGAAGGTCTCCCTATCACTGTGACTGGGAGAAACACAGTCCTCAGGAAGTAGTAAATCAGCTTGGGAGCACTGAACTGAAAAATCCTGTATTTATCGTCCTATTACTTTGTAGTGAAATCATGGTTACTCAAACTGAAGCGGTTTGCGAGTGGTTTTGTGAGTGTGCCCTAGATAGGAGCAGTTATGATTTCTTTTGTGCTAATACTCCTTCCTGCGTATTCCTCCAGCTGTGCACCCGTGCTCCCGCGACAATGGTGGGTGTTCGCACATCTGCATTGCCAAGGGGGATGGGACCCCGAGATGTTCATGCCCTGAGCACCTTGTGCTTCTGCAGAATCTCCTGACGTGTGGAGGTGAGTGATGTTTAACAGCACCCCTAAGCAGCCCGTCAAAAAGATGGGGGTTGAGGTTGTATCCCAGTCCACATTTCCACAGTGTTTTCCTACGCGTGGTGTGTTGCCTCCTGTGTTAAACTGACCTTTGATTCTTCTACCAGCTGTTTTCTGCTTTGGTTTTCGGACATGTGTGACTTTGTGAGTGGAATATTCTTGTTGGACCTTAAAACGCCTGCATCTTCTACTGAGATTTCTGTAGCTGTGTGATGCGACAGGTTTGTGCTTTAAACAGATGCTTAGAAGGTGGTGTGGCATCAACCCAGGATGACCTTAGGAGCAGAAGTTGTGCACACGATCCCCACAGTGTGATGCTCCAGTCTTTCAGATTAATTTGGCCTCGTAACACTGTACTGTCTGGTTATGAAACGCAGGCCAAAATCTCCATCGCAGTCCTTTTTAGTTAAGGTGGCTCTCCTCTCTCCTCATGGCAGACTTCTCCTTTAGACCTCCCTTTCACAACCCCAGGATTTTTGAGAATTGTTACGTTACGCTTGCAGAGGGGATTAAAACCAAAACAAAAACACTGTTTCTTTTGGGGAGGCATCATGTGTTAAATTGTTTGGCTCGGCTGGCCCTCTTGACTTCTTTTTCTGTGTTCGTTTCGCTGTGCATTTCATTTTCTGGCTGAACTCTGACCTCCCATGGGACAGTAATTTCCATCATAAACTGTTTTCTTTCCCATGACCACAACACACTGTGTGGTTTTAGAGTAGTGGTGCAGGGCAGGGAGGGGGGATCAATCTACTTGTATTTCCTGCTGTACTGCTGTTGCACAACATGGCCAACAAGAGGTTCTTACGTCCTCTGTTATCTTAAGCTATACATCTAAAAATTAAGGGCCTCCATTTCGACTTCTGCCTGCCAAGTGCAACCGTAAGGCAGCGTTAAAGGTGGCTCTAAATGCCAAAGTAGTAATCTGTCTGTTGAATTATCTAAACAGCAAACTCGTATCAAAATTGGATTCAGGAATTATCTTCATTTGTGTATCTGGCATCTTTATCTTACCCACAGCTGTCAGGTCACTGGCTACATTTGCAATTCTTATATTGCTGCACCAAATAATCATAAATTAGAAACTTAAAATCATCACATTTTCAAAAATTAAACGCATTAGGATTTTTATCTGCATTTTATTTTTCAAGCTCTGGAAACTATACTTGAGTCCCGTTCTTGAACATTTCTCCCTAGCGAAGGAAGGACAGCAGCACTTGTGAAAAAGGCTGTGGTTTGCGTAGCTCTAGGATTTGTAATGCCACCCTCAGGACAAAAATTGCTCCTACAAAAGACTTGAGAAGCTTTCCTCAAGCTTCGGTTCTTTGTGAACTCCATTCCTGAGCCTCAGTGTCTATAAAAGCGCATTGGGTTTCCAGAGGAGTTTCCAGATCCTCTGGAGGGTGTCCGGATCATCCGGCACCGGAGCACACCTCCAGCTTGCTCCGTGTTGCCTTAGGCAGGGGTCATAGCTGTCACGTCATGGTGTCACACTGCTAATCCAGGCGGTGAAGCTCCTACTTCCCGCGTTAGCTGGCAGCGGTGAGGGCTGGCGACTGCCTCTGTCCACCGCTTGAATCATGTCCCAGGGATTGACCCAGCGAGTTTCGAAATGAGTGGAAATGCATCTGTTTGCCGCAGCGTGCTTTTGGCATCGTCCCCTCGTCTGAACATAACTGACTGCTGCTGGTAACCACGGAAGGGACTTGCATGTTGACTCTTTCATTGGTACTAGTGATAAAGTGCGTGCTAATTGCTCTGTGTAAGAATTAAGAGCTTTTTTTGCAATAGATTCTCAGTCTGTATTGCCTTTTTCTTCTGACAAACTGCAGAAAGCGACTGTGGACACCTTATTACAGCATAATCGTTGTATCTCATTTCTGCATGAGGCTGTAGCTGCTGCTTAATGCTGTCGGTGTGTGTTTGCACCTCGAGCAGCGGTACGGACGTGGAATGGATCGGTGCCAGGATCTTGGGCTCCATGAAAAGTCAGATTTGAAGGAAATCCCAGCTTTCTTAGGTCCAACAGACATAAAAATGGCTGTGCACAAGGTCCTGTGGTCTGTCTCTGACCGTAGTGAAGGAATGCAAGATCAGCTTAGGGTGCTCCTCAGACTGCTCTCTGAACCTCCACTGACCTGCAGCCCAGAGGCTTTCCAGCAAGAGGACTTGGCTTAATGTTTAACAGGCCTTTACAGATATTTTGTCTCCATTCATATTTTTCAATTCATATTTGACTCAGAGATTTGTTTGTGGAGAAACCACTGGAAAAATGGAGAAAGAGATCTTGTAGAAGCAGTTGTTACATGGTTTAGATGTATTCATTGCCCATTAACCCAATGTGCCAGGTTTTTTAATGAAGAATTGTCCCAGGCTAATAGGGTTGCAGAGTTTAGAATTGTATAGAATATGGTTTTCAATCAGAAATTGAGTATTCCTTTGAATTTCTGTGTATGACTGTGTCTTTCAAAAGGTGGCTGTTAGATCCAAAGTATTTGTGGTTCCTGTCCTAAGTCAGTGCTCACCTTCTGCAGTCAGCATGCATCCAGTTCTTGTTATGAAGTTGGCAGGATTTCATTCCCTATGCAAAATCATGTTTTCCTCTTTGCTGGGATCTTAATCTTGTCACGGAAGAACTTTAGTCCAGGCATGAGTGTGTTTTTCTTGAAAAAAGTCCATCACTTTTTACTGGGTTGTAAGGACTAAAATTGGTTATGCAAATGCGATTTATCTTTCTGCAGAACCTCCAACGTGTTCCCCAGATCAGTTTACCTGTGCAACTGGAGAGATTGACTGTATCCCAATGGCTTGGCGGTGTGATGGATTTCCAGAGTGCGATGACCAGAGTGACGAAGATAGTTGCCCCATATGCTCTGCGTCCCAGTTCCAGTGTGAGAAAGGACAGTGTATCGATGCACACCTGCGCTGTAACGGAGAAATTGACTGCCAAGATAAATCTGATGAAGCAGATTGTGATAGTAAGATTAATTTTCCTGAACTCATGGACATAAGCATCCATTTGTGATTCTAACTGTTCTTGAGATACATCTGTATATATGGTTTTTCGTTTCAAATGGGGAAACCCAGCCTGAGCCATAAGCCTAACCAAGCTATCCACTGATCCTGTTTTTCTTTCCCCCTTTCTTATTCTGTTGCTGAAATTAAACTTCTCTGTAGCTACATAAATTGGTGACCATGTAACTGTAGATACGGGGGAGGCTGGGGAGAGTAGCTTTAATCCATATTCTGCATGAAAACAGGAAACAAACTGGCAGAACTTAGCACAGGCTTTTTTTCCCTGCATAGTTACCATTTTGGCTTGCAGTGTTTCTACGGTGTCCACCTTTGGACAGTGGTCACTGCAAGGTGCTACAAGGAGGAAGAGATGGACTTAATCCTAGAATCACAGAATCATAGAAGGGTTTGGGTTGGAAGAGACCTTAAAGACCATCCAGTTCCAACCCCCCTGCCATGGGCAGGGACACCTTGCACTAGACCAGGTTGCTTCAAGCCTCATCCAGCCTGGCCTTGGACACTTCCAGGGATGGGGCATCCACAGCTTCTCTGGGAACCTGTCCCAGTGCCTCACCACCCTCTCCGGGAAGAATTTCTTCCTGATATCTAATCTAAACCTCCCCACTTTCAATTTAACCCCGTTACCCCTTGTCCTGTCACTACAGGCCCTTGTAAAAAGTCCCCCCCAGCTTCCTTGTAGCCCCTTCAGGTACTGGAAGGCTGCAATAAGGTCTCCCTGGAGCCTCATCTTCTCCAGGCTGAAGAAGCCCAACTCTCCCAGCCTGTCCCATGGCAGAGGGGCTCCAGCCCTCGGACCATCTTCGTGGCCTCCTCTGGACTCGCTCCAACTGGTCTATGTCCTTCTTATAATTAATATATTTAAGAGGGGAGGTCACCAAAAGAAGTGTCAGCAGAAGAAGAGTGAGCAGGAGGTGGAGAGAATCATCGTGGGGAAAGGAGTGGGATGTGAGAGACAACCAGGCAGACACGAAAAGTCACTGCAGAAGAGAGGGAGGAGGTGCCCGGAGCAGAGGTTCCCCCACAGCCGGTAGAGAGAGGGCAGGCTGTGCCCTGCAGCCATGGAGGGTCACGGGGGGCAGAGACCCCCCTGCAGCCCGGGGATGACCCCACGCCAGAGCAGGTGGGGGCCCAAAGAAGCCCAAGACTCCATGGGAAGCCCAGGCTGCTCCTGAAGGAGTGCACCCCACGGAAGGGACCCACGTGGGAGCAGTCAGTGAAGAAAACTGCAGCCCATGGGAAGGGCTCATGCCAGGGAGGTTCGTGGAGGACTGTCTTCAGCGGGACCCCACTTGGCAGCAGGGGAAGGATATGAGGAGTTCTCCCCCCGATGAGGAAGCAGGAGCAGCAGAGACAGTCTGTGATTGTCTGGGAAACCCCCCAGCCCCCTGTGCCACTGGGAGGGGAGGAGGTAGCCTGGGAAGAAGGGGGAGGTGGGGAGGGAGGTTTTAAAGGTGCGTTTTGTTTTCTCTCCCATCATCTTACTCTGATTTTGATTGGTAACGTATTAAATGGATTTTTCTTCCCCAAGTCCAGTCTGTTTTGCTTGTGACCGTAATGGGTGAATGAGTGATCCCTCCCTGTCCTTGCCACAGGCCACGAACTTTTCCTTGTGTTTTCTCCTCCACATTCCGCCGTGGGGAGTGAGCAAGCCTCCTGGTCTTCTGTTCCTGGCTGGGGACTAAACCATGACAGAGGTTTATTAAGGTGGTTTATTAACTGGGCGTAACAGAACTTTCCTACTATACCTTGTGCATCGATGGGATTGTGTTCTGGTCTGCCTTTTCACAGATCTGAGTTCAATGCCTCGATTCTATCAGAAGCCACTTGTCCTGTCTCCTGTTTTCCCAAGGCACGCTTTTGGAGAGTTGAATCTGAAGCATTGGCACAGGGATTGCAGACTATGACTGAGAGTGGCCAAAGAAATGTCCCTGGATATGCTCAAGGTTCTCATCCCACATACTCAAGACTGGCTTTCATCTTCTGCAGTCTGCATTGTGGCACTGGGAGCTGGTCCTGTCATACCCAGTCCAAGTCGTGAGGTTAAGTCTCTTGGTACTGCAGCTGGGTTACCATGCCACTGAAGAAACTGCACTCCTGTGCAACACAGGTTCCGTGCTCCGAGTTGTCCATTGCTGGATGAAGAAGAAACAAGGAGTCCAGCAAGGCAGGACAGCAATGGAAGATGCAGCATGTCAGAAGGAAAAGGATATGAAGACAGGAGTCTTGATGGAAGACGGAGAAGTTGCAAGAATGAGGAGAGGGCTGGCAGTCCTTGTCAAATAGGAGGGTGCACACAGAACTTGGCCCTTCCGATAGTGCAGGAACCTGAGTGGTGTGGTGGGAACTCCAGATGCTTTTGGAACCTTCTGTCAACGTGTGTGTTTCGTATGCACAGTATACAGCGGAGCTGCATCCAGCTTACTGGGGGCAAAACAGTCCAAATCAGGAGCTGAGGCGTGTGGAGCTTCTAGCTCAGTTTTTTTCTCCGTATAGAGTTTAGTTCTCTTACACGAGAACTGCTCTGCAGACTGGACCACGGCACAGGAAGTATGGCCGTTCAGGAGGCTCACTGCACACCACTGCCTTTTGTGGATCTTCTCCTCCAGAAGCAAAGAATCTTCTTGCATTGAATAACCTATGCTGTGAACCTTCCAGGATTTGGGGTTACTAGCCCTCGTAAGACAGTCTCTACCGATCATTTAATATGCTTTGACTTGACGGAGATTCCAAGGTTAATTAACAAGTCCTTTTTGCTGAAACAGAGACTTCTGAATGTAGATAAGAAATTTAGCAGTTATTCGGCAAGGATCTGTTATACAGGGCTACATAAGATCGTATGGACTAGTTTAGGGTCTGCCATATACCATTTACTACATTTCATTAACATGTCAGGTGATCAGCTGCACTTTTTTAGTTATTGTAAGAGATTCTTGCTGGTTTCCTTCCAGTTTTGCCCCAGCAGGACTGATTTGACAAAGGATGGGGAGTTACTGGCATCAGAACTTTTATTTTAGCCCCAGTGAGTAGCACGTGTAACAGCAAGGAAGAAACCATGAAATGCAGACTTGCCTTTCCCCCCGCAGCAGAGCAGGTGTTCGGTGCTTACCTGGTCACGATATAAAACCCACTGTGACTTCATTTCTTCTTGTTTTCTTAAGATGCTTAAATGCTCCCACGCAAGTAGTACTTAATCTTGTCTTTCTTTCTCTGCAGCCATCTGTCTGCCCAATCAGTTCCGATGTGCCAGCGGCCAGTGCATCCTCCTGAAGCAGCAGTGCGACTCCTTTTCCGATTGCATTGACGGGTCTGATGAGCTTCTGTGTGGTGAGTCGTCTTTCCTTGAGACTCAAGTGCTGTGCTCAGGCATCATGTCCTGCATCCCTGTGGAGAGCCCCGCTCCTTGCATGGCTAAGTGCTCTCCGGGAGGCCCCGTGAATCAAACCCAACGCTCTCACGGTTGTACTTGGCTGCTGAACGTGGTTTTGCTCTTCCATTGGTCTGCGTGGGGAGAGCGTGAGCTTGGGGCGCAGGCATCATGTCCTGCATCCCTGTGCAGAGCCCCGCTCCTTGCATAGCTAAGTGCTCTCAGGGTTGTACCTGGGGAGAGCGTGAGCTTGGGGCCTGACGAAGCGAGTCCGTAACGCAGTTATTCCTGGTAACGCGGGAGCAGCAGTAGTGAAGGTGAACTGAAATCCCAGCGTTACTTCAGGCTAGTTCTGGAATGTCGTATGGGACGCAGCGGTGCCTTGTTTAGGTGGGCGTTCAGATCTGCGCCCATGGGGGCCTTGGACTGGCAGCGGCGCTGCTAAGCTTGGGGAGGCGCTTAAAAGCGCGCAGCCCTGTCCACTGCAGTTACAGGGTCAAGCTGGAGGCTGATTATGTGAAGGAAGTAGCATGCAATGAGCAAGTGACCACAGGAGAACACAGGCCAATCTCTTATTAAACTGCAGGTGGGAGAACGTTACTTCGGATTCTTGTGACAGTGGGTACGTGCACGCTACGGGCACGCTGGCGGCAGTTGCTGCGTTAGTCCTTAGCGGGGTCTGTTTTGCAGTCTGGAGTGGACAGTAAAATTCACTTATTTGTCCTCTGCTTGCAATTTCCCTGATTTTACACCATCGGGGTGACTCGTGTATGACGTCTTCAGGCACCGGGGCAGGTTAAGTGTGCCCGTAGCTCACGAATGCCTTAGCAAAATAGTTGGAACATAGCTTTTTAGGACAAAAGCCATTAGATGTGCTGATCTGTAATTCATGCTGAACAAATACCTTGTGCTGGGCTTGTGTAGAGCAACGTTGCCTTTTGCCTAACGGTGTTGCCTATAGGACCATGGCTAATTGTGGTAGGTTTTAATATCTTAGAGTCTTATCAGGTTTTGAAGCACCAGTTGTCAGAAGCTGTGCCGCTGCTGGGGTGAGAGGAGGGGTCACCAGTCCAGTCAGGGTAATCTTCTTTCTTCCTTCATCCTCACAACGGGTACAGCAAGGAGAAGTGTATTTCATGAGCGAGAGCGGTGGAAGGAGCCCGGGTGGTGAATAGAAGGAAAGGCTAAAAGAATGGCAACAAAAACTGTTTAGCTCTCCTGTTGGAAATTTCAGACTGAACGTGCTTCTCATGCTTCTCCCACAGCTTCCATTTATCTCCCAGCTCTCACCCAGTCCCCGGGATCATGTAAAGCCACTACTTCCTCTTTTTTCAGTTTATTTTCTTTGTGCACTTGGCAAACTTTTGTGCTGCCAAGTTAATGCAGCTGTTTCCTGTTTGCAGTTTGGGTCCAGTCCTGCCATTAGGTCTGAACTGATTTAAGTGTGTCTTTATGTAGACATACCTAATCCTCCTCCTCCTCTGGAGTCTCTGTGGAACAGAGCATTCTGTGCTTTCTCGCTTGGCTGAGGGAAAGAACTCAAGTAGGGCATAAAAATAATTGCTGCTTTCTAGATAAGGATCTTGTATTCGAGAGAAACTAGATTTAACCAAAATGAGAATTGTGTTTTAAATTAGCTAATTTGGAAACGTTTTAATTTTGGTTTTGCTTTCTTTTTTTTTTTTTCTGGTATGATATCTGAACTAATCTGTGTATTTGAAAGTTGGGGCCTCAGCTGACATAAAACCTGTCACGCACTAGTGAGTATGAAAAGCAGATAAGGGCTTTAAGACGGAAATTAATTCTTGAGGCTGAGCTGCTAAAGCGTTTATTGGCAGATCTTTGTATTTCCTTTATCTTCCTTCTCAAATTTTGGTTGTTTTCATGCCTTTCCACTGAAGGGAATGAACCAAACCCATGGGAGAAAAATTACATGAAGTGAAGGTTTGAATCTTACACGAACCATTTCACTTCCGACAGCTTCATTAAAGAAGGGAGGGCTCTACAGTTTGGTCTGAACACGTAAAATCGATAAGCTCTGGCTGATTTCATTTTGATTTCTTTTCACTTTATGAATAGATACATGTGTGTGTGTAAAAAAAAAATTAGAACTGTTGTGTGAATCACGTGGGAAAAAACATTAGAACTGAAGACTGTCACATGTGAAAAACAGAGGTGTCAGGTTGGTTTGGCAAGGATTTTGAATGTGTTACCCACAGCCAGGGGGAGATGTGATACACAGCTCATCTCAAATACAGCAGCACTTTTGATTATTTAACATTTGGCGATATAGGGGAAAAAGAAATTAGAAGTAGAAAGTATTTGAGATATACTGGATTGTGTTTTCCTTCCCTTTGTAAGGGTTTTTTTGAAAGCAAGTCACATTTTAGGTAAGAAAAGCATTCTGTTTTATGGCCTGTGTGAGCTAGGAAGACATCTACTGCTTCATACATACAGTAGCTTCTCTGCTGGTTAAATCTTTAAATTTTTTAATGTTATTACTAGCCCAGATGGCTTTTGAGAGAGCAGATTCCTCTCTGATTAAGAACTTGAAGCTTAAAAGTGTCCTGAATCCTTAACACATAGACTTTGGGCGGGGGGGGAGAAAAGGAAACTTTCTAGGCTGTTGTTGTATCAAGATGGTAAGTAATCTCGTTACAAGATGAATTGTTAGACAGAAAGAGGAGGACCTTGCTAATACAGCTTTATATACTTGGAGGCACGAATTCTTGTGCATTGAATCAGAATATATGGAGTTAGGGATGCCTGGGTTTGATGCAGATACTTGGAAAGACACTGTGAATGACCGTGAGCTGACTGCTGCCCGAGCTCTAGGACAGCAAGGTATAGATTGCCCCATCTTTAATGTCCTCTTTTCTTTTCTCCTCACTTTCCAGAAAAAGCAAAGCCAGTCCCAGATGAGTCACAGCCACACAGTAGTGCCATCGGTCCCGTTATTGGTATAATACTGTCACTTTTTGTCATGGGAGGAATGTACTTTGTTTGCCAGCGAGTGGTGTGTCAGCGCTACGCCGGGCCCAACAGTCCGTTTCCACACGAGTATGTCAGTGGCACCCCTCACGTCCCTCTGAATTTTATTGCTCCGGGAAGTTCTCAACATGGTACTTTTACTGGTAAGGATGGTAAGGACCTTGCAGCTAATCAGTACTGTTACATCGCCTGGATTTGGAGTTTTACAGGATATTGAGTGCGAGATGCGGAGTTTTCAGTGGCCAGAAATTAGATGTTACTAATCTGCTCAGTGGTTTTGGTATAAACCTGTTATTTGGATCAAACATGCAAAAACTATTAGACACGTTTCATTAGGCATCTTGCCAGATTTTCAGTGCAGTTTTTCTGCTAGGGTGCATCTACACAGGGGTTAATCTTTTCTACAGTATTTTCCCAGTGAAAACATTCTCTTTAAGTAGTTCGTTGTGGTGTAGGTAATGAAGCCTGGGGTTGGCATTCAGCTTCTTACCTCAGGCCTGCAAGACACTAGGAAGGGTAGTGAACCACATGCAACACGGGAAATTAAGAATGTGTGTGCCGTTCAGTGTTCTAGTGAGAGCTTTGTTGAGTTGTTGTGTCTTGTACTCTGTGTCCTTGCTGCTGTCCTGTCCAACGAAGCTCTTTATACAGTTTGTCCTGTCTGCTCAGGATGGGGTTATCCTGAGGGAGGAAGTGAATAATACAAAAATTGCCCCATCCCTGGATGTCATAAGGCCAGGCTGGATGAGGCTTGGAGCAACCTGGTCTAGTGGGAGGTGTCCCTGCCCATGGCAGGGGGTTGGAACTGGATGGACTTTAAGGTCCCTTCCAACTCAAACCATTCTGTGGTTCTGTGAAAACAGCACAGGACAAACATCCCTCATCAGTTACAGCAGCAAGTGTGGAAGAACACAAGCAGTCTGGGTGTGGTTTTGTAGGCTGGCTGCTCTTTGCCTGAAGCGTAATGAAAACATCCCCTTTAGTTCAGCGCATCTCTGAGACAGCTTTCCTGTTGGAAAGTATTTATTCCCTCTGTGTCCCAGTCCTTCGTCTGTAAACCAGTGTGGCTTCTCTTACCTCACAAGGGACTCAAAGCATCCATTCGGAGAAGTGCGAGCAGCGACAGTGCTGAGATTGAAGGAGGACTTGAAGCGTACACAAAAGCTCAGGTTATTCAGCTGATCAGAGTCCAGAGACCTCATATAGGCATCAAAGTGAACACTTCAATCGTAGAATCCTAGAATCTTTGAGATTGGAAAAGAACTTTAAGACCATCAAGTCAAACCATTAACCAAAACTGCCAAGTCCACCACTAAACCGTGTCCCTCAGCACCTCGTCCACACGGTTCTTAAACCCCTCCTGGGATGGTGACTCCACCACCGCCCTGGGCAGCCCCTTCCAATGCCTGACAGCCCTTTCCATGAGGAAATTTTCCCTAATATCCAATCTAAACCTCCCCTGGCACAACTTGAGGCCGTTTCCTCTTGTCCCATCACTTGGGAGAAGAGACTGACCCCGCTTTCAGGGAGTTGTAGGGAGTGATAAGGTTTCCCTGAGTCTGCTCCAGGTTTCCTTTCTGTTGCCTCTGCTGACTTGCAATTTAAGCAGTGATTTTTTTCAATAATGTGCTGGTTTCAGTCGGAATAGGGTTAATTTTCGTCAGAGTAGCTAGTATGAGGCTGGTTTGGATTTGTGCTGAGGAGAACGTTGATAGCACCCACGTTTTTGGTTGCTGCCAAGGCATGTTTATACCGTCAAGGACTTTTTCAGAGGAGTTTCTGACACTGCACCCACATTCCCACCTTCTTCTCTGCAAGAAGCCGGGAGGGGGCACATCCCAGGGAGCTGATCCAAACTGACCAAAAGGACATTCCATGCCATCAGATGGCATGCACAGTATATAAGCTGGGGGAGTTGGGCAGGAGGGGAAATCGCTGCTCGGGAAGGGGTTGAGCGTCAGTCAGTCGGTGGTGAGCAGTTGTATCATTT